GGAACAAAGGTATTTTTTGAGTATTTACAATAGCAACAATAGGAATAGAAGCTGCTGACATTACTGAATGTATTTCAGGGGACCAAACACTAGGCAGAGCCTTTTATATATATTCTCTCATTTGAACCTTTCATAAATCTATAGGTTATATATTAAAACACAGAAAAGTTACACAACTTGCCCAAGGAATCTAAACAAGCTGATACAAGAACAGGCACTCTTATTGTCTGACAGGCAATATGCTCTGAGGATACAATGATGATGGTGCACATTTTCAAGGCATGACGTTCTGACGGAAGAGACAGACATCTGAACAATTATAGTGCAGTGTACTCAATGGTCACAAGTATACATATGGGATGTTATGAGAATGCAGGGATGTGTACCAAACCCTTCCCAAGGGAAAGTCATGGCGTCCTCCCATGAGCAGATGTGTAATTTAGTCTTGAGGATGATTAGGATTTTGCCAAGACAAAGAATAAAAGGGCATTGTAAGTAAAAGAAACAGTATATATATGTTATAAAAACATGGTTTCTCACCACACACACACACAGTAACTATGTGAGATGGATGTCTTAACTAATCTTATTGTGGTAATCATTTTGTAATGTATATATGCATAGCAAATCACCATGTTGCACTCTTTAAACTCACATATTATATGCCAATTACATCCCAATAAAACTAAAACAATAAATAAAAAACATGATTTCTTTAAGGGTCAGCATATTTGTTCAGCATGGCTGAAAGGTAGGAAATATGTAGAAAAAGAGAAAAAGATAAAGAGGTTGGACAAAGTCCAGATCAGTGCAATATGGTAACTACTAGCCACATGTGTTTACTTACATGTAATTTATCTAAAATTAAAATCCTCAGTCATACTAGCCACATTTGAAGTGCTCACATCATGTGTGGCTGGTTAGTACCAATTTGGAAAGCACAGTCATAAAACGTCCATCATTGCAGAAAGTTCCATTAGACAGAACAGGTATAGACTATGAAGGTCCTTATATGCTAGATCACTGGAGTTTCTCTAATCAGTTGTGGTACGGCATGAAAAGATTTAAGGGTTTAAAAAGAAACGACACTGCTACAGCTTCATTTAGGAATGATAAAGGTAAAATGAATGGACTAGTTGGTGCCAGGGGATAGGGAAAGGTGTACGGAATAGGGGTAACAGTAAGGAAACCAGAGAGAAGAGAAAACCAAATCTTACTGTCAAATAAACAAGATGTTAAGGAGATATCTTTTAATAGAGAGAGAATGCAACGCTTCTGAATTTCTAAAAAAATTTCCAAATCTCTCAGAATGAAAAAAATACTGCTTTTATAATGAAAGTTGACTGGGGGAGTGTGGGTGATTGCTATTACAGCAGCTCTAGAAAGAATGGCAGTAAATACTAAGGCAATGACATGGGGAAATTCAGAGGAGGGCACACATTTGAAACATTTGGGAGGAAGAATCTATAGATATTACTGACTGATTGTGAGTGTGCACATTATGTTCCAAGTACTTCAGCAATTACCTTGTAAGAGAGGCAGACCTAATATTACCATCCTCATTTTTAGACATAAAGTCAGCAAATCACAAAGGGTTTGGATGGAATGCCCCAATCACACAGTTAGTGAAGGAAGGACTCAAGATAGATGGCTCTTCTAAACATACTGTTTCCACCCAGCTCAGTTAACTCATCCTGCTCATTGAATGTTGCTCCCAATCACCTTTTTTTGCTATTTCTAAATATCAAATACACCCACCTCAAAGGTCAAAGCTCTGAAATAACTGAGAAATTTGGAGATATTTAAATTTGTTGCAAGTTCTGACAGCAATACCCAAAGGAGTTTCAAAAATGTTATTACTGTTATAGAGGTGCTCTTTTTAACATTAAAATAAAAACTTGCACTTTAAGATTATGGTTCTTAACTTTATGCAAAGCATCTTTATCACAAAACTGAAAATATTTCATCTTTTTCAATTTTCCTGAGCATTTGGTTAGAAAACTACTTTAAAACACATGCAAAATCAGGTTGTGTACTAATAATTATGATAAACAGTAACAAAATCTTCTTCACAAGAAATTTTGACCTTCAGCACTCTAGCAAGAAAAAGTTATGATGGTTTGCAAATGAAAAAAATTGTCAAATTTCTACTGCTGTCTAAAAGGAGGAATGATTCCTCCTGATCCTTCTCTCTGAATTGCTGACAGAACAAAAGAAATAAAGAACCCTACAGGAGGGCCGGCCGAGTGGCACGTTGGTGAAGAGTTGGCTTGGGATGCCGGCTCTGAGCAGAAGGGCCCTGGTTCGGATCGCACATGCGGACCAGTGACGCTACGCCCTCTACAGCTAAGATGGTGAACAACAGCTCGACCTAGAGCTAGGCTGCCATGAGTCGCCAGCGACAGCGTAGGCTACAGTGGAGCTGCAGTGGGCTGCCATAAGCTACCATGAGTGGCTGACAGCCAGCATGAGCTGCCAAGAGTCGCCGTGAGTGGCCGGCAACCAATCTGCCTCAGCCAGGCAGAGCACAATGATAATACCAACATGGGCCAGTGAAGCGACGTCCCTCCACAACTAGACTGAAGAACAAAAGGACAGCAACTTGTCTGTTCCTCTTCCCTGATTCCCCAATGCTGTTCCCCTCCCCCAATTCCACAATAAAATCTAAAAAAAAAAAAGAACCCTACAGGTAACATCTTAATTAATGGTGAGAAACTAGATGCATTCCCCCTAAGATCAGGAAGAAGACAAGGATGTCCCCTCTCACCANAAAAAAAAAAAAGAACCCTACAGGAGCCATAAAACCAGTTCTCTACTGGATGCTTAATTAATACTAATTAAGATTTTCTGCTACATAGTATCCTTATCCAGACCAACTACCAATATGTAGGGATTTGGGCAGATGCATAGGTTTTACATAATTGGTGAAATTAATTCTAAGAAAAACTTAATACTGTATTTTCTAAATTGCCTGAAATATATCCTTTTTAGAAAAAAAACACCTATTAATTCAAGAAATAGCAAATGCAAGTAACACAACCAAAAATCCTTCTATAATTCAGTCTCATGGTTAATAAATCAGTTTTATCTAAATTGAATCAACTTAGTTCTCCCTTTGCCATTATCTGCCAAATTCCTGACAGTACTTAGTAAGATAACCACCTAAAACTAGCTAAATAAAACTTTACATGCAAAAATACCACACTTTACTGTCATCAAATGGATACAATCTGTAGCAGTGTGCCTACTGCTCTTTCTGGTCCCCTCAGGAAACCAGCATATCCCCAAGAGGACAACTTTCAGTATACACGAGGACTGAAGGTAAATGACTAATGAGCACTAGCCACAGCTACCAAAACAAAATATGGAATCTAAGCTTTATGACATAACACCAAAAAAATCTGGGAAGAGAACACACTAAAGTTGTGACTAGAATAAGCAAGTACTCACATACAAACTATGTTACAGTACTAACTCACACAAGGAGAACACAATAGAACAATTAAAGATATTTTACTTTAGCAATTGTACTTAAGATTATTTTCTAGAGAAACCAAAGATATGGGCATATATAACCACAAAGACATTTAGTGCCTTAATTTTTTTAAAATTACAAAAACTAGAAAAATCTAAATGACCAAATATTTGGAATGGAGTAAATAAATTATGGCAGTTATTACAAAGGAGAACTAAGACACTTTTAAGAATAATGTTGTAAAAAAACAAACCCATTTAATAGCATTCAAAGATGTTTAGATTATATATTTAAGTTTTAAAAAGTTACAAAACAGATATTTTTAAGTTTTAAAAAGTTAGTCAAAAAGCTTACATATCTATTTGTATGTTAAAAAAGCTTTACCCAAAAATATTTAAAAATGTCATCAATGGTTACATAAATGGGTTGTAGGACTAATCAACTTTTAATTTTTTCAAAAATAGACATATATTACTTGTGTAATAAGTCAAAACATGTTAGCTTAAATTAATTAGTGATGGGGAAATTTATTATAAAAAGAAAAAGAAATTATTAAACAATAAGAACAGGAAATGAACTTTGTGTGGCCCTGGGTGTAGTAAAAATTTAGGTAGTATATCATATGTTATTGTTTGTCATCAGAAGTAGATTGTGCTGAATTAGTGAAATTAGGCAAATATGACTAAATCCTTAAAGCTGCCTTAAATTTAACACTTATTTCAGTACAATCAACTCCCTAAATAATCATGTTGTTCCTAACATGTAATAAATAAATTTCTGTTTCTGACAAGTAAAAGAACTAAATGTACCTTCAGGAATTTTGTTGCAGTCAATCTCTATGCTGTTTTTATATTTAGGGGATCACGACCACTTTGAAAACTGACAAAATCCACCTGGATTTGTTCTGTTTTTGATTATCCATACTTCTTGATTCAACTACTTTTCAGTCTAAAATGAAGTTATTTCCAATTACCAAACTGAAGACTTCTAAGGAAACAGCTTATATTCCTTGTGATGTTACAAAGTTTATTTCATCTGGTTCTTTTTCAATATTTGCATGTGAAAATACACCTTTAACGCTTGCATATGTTTCTGCAATAACAGCCATTATGTGTATCTGTCCCACATCTCAAGGGCAGAACTGATGTATTGTTATCTCTTTTGTATGCCTTACAGCATTATCAGAAAAAAATGCTCTAAGGAGTCATTACCTGAGTTTTCAGGACTCTAATCTATGCTGTATTCAGGTAATAAAAAGGCAAGACAATCTACAAATACATTTAAAGATATGGTTCAGAAATTTTTTTACATTATTTAAACAGAAAATAAATACAAAACTCTCACTGGTAAGAGTATTTCTACCCAACTCGACCAAGTAGAAGTATTTTTAAAAATTATACAGATATATTTATCAGCCCCAAACTTTCATACATAGAGCCCAGTGTTGATAGTACCAAAATACATGTAAATTAAAGATATATGAAAATTAAAGGAAGATCCATGGACTGTCCCCAAATATACTCACAGAAAGATAGCTGTTAACGTCCACATCATCAGTAATGGTTTGGCGCTCTCCTTTATAGTTAATTTTCCGAAACCTCCGTCGAGACTGTCTGGCAGGAATTTCTCTTTGTAGAATACTATCTTCATTATCTTTGGAATTCTCTACCTGAAACACATGTTCACATTCCTGGTTAAACATCCAATTTTTCCATATTACTGACAGTCTATGGAGTCTTAACAGGCTCATAAGGAGGCTTCATTTACTCCTTGCAAGAATCTGCCTCAAGAAAACAGTCTGTATAAGCTCATTAGTTCAGAAAGATTAATGGTGATGTTATCATGAAGATTTGAAGACCACAGTTTCCTTCCAGGAAATAGTCTCTTTTGCTCACATAAACATGTCTCCTCTAAGTAAAGTCACTTACCAGAAATGAAGGATGTTCAATACACCTACACATTCAATAATTATAACTTCTGAGCTAGTCTAATTACAAACTGCCTGATTATACACATATTTAGCAATCAATCAAGGTTATGATTCCAGTGAACTGATAAACAGGAAAACAAAACTGCTTTGTGCATTATTCTTCAGTGTCCATCTTAATGTATGACAATAGCCAAGAGTAAGGCTGACATCTTTTAAGGAAGAAGGGAAAACTAACATTTACTGAAGGCTTAAAAAGGGCCGGCATGCACAGACATTTAGTTCACACAGCTGCCCTATAAGCAGCTCTTACTCTACTGAGTTTAGAGATGAACAAAGAAAAATCCAGAGACAAGTGACTTTCCAGTCTCAGAAGAGTGATACTTATTAAAGGTGAGTTGAATACAGGCTTATCTCCAAAACTTACGCTACTGACACAAGACCACATAGCCTGTCAAATCAGACTAAATCATAATTTTAAAAACTTACAAAGGATATGTTCTAAAGTACACCTTATAATTAACCTCACATCCAATAAATAACACATAATTTCAGCTTCCCCAACTACTTTTCATGATGTCATATCTTTTGCTAATATAAAAAATTCCCTGGTTATCCAAGTATGAAATTCCATTAACATTTCCAACTCCTGATTGTCTTGTAAATCTTATCTTCAATCATTTCTTAGAACTTGTCAATTCCTTTTTTAATAAATCCCTCTCACAATGCCCTTTTTCTTCCTATTATTACTATCACTTATTCAAGTCTTAATCACTTCAGTCCTGAAATATCACAATAGGTGATCCTGCTGCTTCAGACATGTTCCTCTAATTCCATCTGGCATGGTGAGTAAAAACACCTAGATCAATCATCTCCTGTTTCAAAATGCTACAATTGTTATCAAATACAATTTAAACTATAACATTTGATAGTCTAAGTAACATACAGTCCATCCCCAAAATATGTTTGTCACTTTATCTTATACGGGTAAGCCTGGAAAAAATACTCCCTTATCCTCCTCCCCACACACACAAAAACCCCTCTCATATACAAGCTCTAATGAGATACGCAAAATTTCCTGATGATTTCTCAAAAAGAGTTGATGGTTAAGTTAAGCTGCTCTGTTTCAGGTGTGCGAGTTCAAGAGAAAGTAGCGGCCAAGTCACGTGACTATTCATGGGTCCTTATATAATACATAAGTAACTTACATTCTGCTAAGTAACTTTATATCTTTAATTTGTATTAACCCAATCCATTCTATCTTCACATGCTAAATAAAACACTACCAATCACTTAAGATACATCTCAATTGCCATCTCTTCTATAACCACAAGACATTCTTTTTCTCAGACTGTGGCTTTTGTGTGTCACGACCTAGACTTCTCACAAACAGAACGTGCTCCCTATCTCCTTCAGGTCTTTGCATCTGATGCTGTAACTTCTGCCTAAAAGCCCATCCCTCCTTTGCAGACATGTTGACATTCCTACACATACGTCATGACTCAGTTCAAATAACCCCTCCTCTGTCCCAGGAAGGTGCTTCTTCTTATAGCACTAAGCATACTGACCGTAATTATTAGATAAGCCAGCTAACAAGCTAAAAAGAAAGGAACTGCATTGTTATATTCATCCTTACTCACTTAACATTCAAGAAATGTGCCAAAATGGGCATTACATTCATTGTATTAAATTCTTTCTCCCCAAATACGTTAGGTCCATGGAAATACGTATAAGATATTCAGGAAATAGACACAGTTACTGAACATTAATTTTCTAAAAGGTAAAATTCAGAAGACACAGGGAACTGATTTCCAGCTTAACAACTATAGAATTATGTCTGCAGGTAGCAAATACATGTTTCCTCCTTGTAATTCAATTTCCTCTTCTAAAAATTGATGGGAGAACCATAGTATTTCCTGAACCACTCATCATACTAGGCCATGTACCAGAAACTGTAAGTTATATCATCTAAGGCTCACAACGATCCTATCATATAGCTACTCTTTTGTTTTAATAGATGGTACAGTCTTACAAAACTTAAGTAATTCACACAAGTGGGTAAGGTCTCCAAACCCAAGTGTGACTAGAAAGTTCATCTCCTTCAAACTGCCCTATCCCAAAAGATGAGCTAGATTATCTACTTTAGGTGAAGTTCCAATTTCATATGACTCTTAGATCTTTTAATATCAACATTTATTGAGCAAAAACATTTAAGCAATAAAGGGAGTTTCTAGGACTCAAAATTTTGGGAAAAGTATTAAATGAAAAGAAAAATTGAACAATGTATAAAGGATTAAATTCCCTTAAACAAAGCTCCCTCTGAATACAAGTGAAATGTGAGATTTAAAAAAATAGAACTTTGCAAATAAATACTGAAATGGCAAAAAAAGTAAGGAAGACAAAGACTAAGAATGAAGCAAAACCAAGAATACCAGGAGGTAGGCTGCAAACAAAGCCCTGCTCTGCCAGCTGTTTTCTCCACTCCAGAGACTGGACTTTCCATTTTGAGAGTTGTAGGGAACAAGGGAGAAAGGAAATAAAATAGAGAATCCACCAAAGATGGGGAATCCAATAGGAGGCTTACTCAGAAATCTCAACCCAAACAGTTACACCCTCACTGTAAAGGGTGAACAGGGTATAAGCCCACGGTACAGAGGAGGACAGGAAGAAAAAGTTGCTTGGCATTGAGAGAAGGGGGGAGGGGGCACAACCAAACAAAACCTTTCCCCTGAGAATTCAAAACATAAGCCATCCCTCATGCAAGTCTGTAGTTTGAATTTACAATACCTTAAGTACATAAGTAAATTTAAAGATGTTCAGGACTAATAATGTCCATATGCAACTGGCAAATACAAACCTAAAACCTCTTTGCAAGAATGCAACTTGAACCCAAACCTCAAAAAATTCCCACGCCTAAAATTCAAGACATATAAACTCAGGTATAAACATAACCCACCCACCCCCACCCCCAAATACAACGAAACCCAATCATATGAGCAAATAGGACATGATGAGCAATAATGGGCAGAAAAAAGCAGAATCATACTTGCAAAAATTCGTAAATATTGGAAGTATCAGAAAATATAAAGCTGTAATAAAAAAAACCTTTCAAACAAAAACTTGAAAATGAGCAGGAGATTGTAAACAGCAACCAAGCAGATGAGTACTGACTAGGACCCCCCAAAAGAGAAATCCTCCCCAAATGTCCTCCCTCCCCACTGTCAGGCTAGCAAGCAGTGCATAACTAGCAGCACAAGTCTACCTTCATAAGAGGTGGGAGAATATAAAGAGATATCCTGTCTGAAACACAAAAGCACAGGGAAGGCCTAAAACTGAGGGCGGAGCAAGAACGTTTAGAACAATGTTCCAACATGCCAGTCCCACCCCTAACTACAAAGTAACACCAAGCAGAATTTGAAACCACTGGTGCACTGAAGGTAATCATAACAAAAAATAATCCAAACCTATTTCAATTCTAGCAGAAGAGTTGTGTTCATCTCCAGGCCTGAACACTCTCCACCCTCACTCTTTATTCCCTACACACCATTAAATCCAAAATAATGACTCACATAAAAATACTAAGGGGGCAAAACCCAACATTCCACTGCCAAGAGATGAAGCAATCAGCAGAGCAAACCATGAAAATCAGAAATGGTCCAGATGCTCAACTCGCAGAGGACGTAAGCCACTAAGATTAATAAGGTAAAGGCTCAGGGGAAAAGATGGACAATCTGAACGGACAGATGAAGAATTTCAGGGCCAGCCGAATGGCGTGTTGGTTAAGAACTGGCTTGGGATACGAGAGGGCCCCGGTTCGGATCCCACATATGAGGGCCAGTGACACTGCCCTCTACAGCTAAGATGCTGAACAACAGCTCAACCTGGAGCTGGGCTGCCGTGAGTCGCCGGCGACGGCGTGGGCTGCAGTCCCTGTGGCAGTGGGTTGCCATGGGCTACCGTGTGTAGCCAGCAGCCAGCGTGAGCGGCCAGCAGCCGCAGTGAGCGGCCGTCCAGAAGCCGGCGACTGATCTGCCTCACCCGGGAAGAGCGCAATGATGGTGCCAACTTGGGCCAGTGAAGCAACATCCTCCACAACTAGACTGAAGAACAAAACAACAGCAACTTGTCTGTCCCCCTTCCCCCGATTCCCCAATAAAATCTTTAAAAAAAAAATGAATTTCAGCAGACATGCGGAAAATATTAGAGTAAAATGGAAATGTGAGAAACAGTGTGGTACTAGAGATCAAGAATGCCTGTGATAAGCTAGCTCATCAATAGACTTGATGCAACTAAGTTTACAAATCAATGAACTTAAATATAGGTCAACAGAAATTAGCCAAACTAAAATGGGAGAGAAAATAAAAAAGAGTAAAAACACAAAAATGAAAAAATTAAACGACATATTAAAATGTAAGTAAAAAGAAAATTAGTGAATTGTGAAGATAGAGACAAAAAAATAACACATATGCAGTACAAAGTCAGGAAGAGACAGAAAATAAATAACAGATGTAAAGGATAGGCTGAAAAGCCTTAACACATATCTAAACAAATTTCATGAAGGTGATGATAGAAAGAGGAATGAGACAATGTCTGAGAAAATGACTATTTTTCGATTAAAAAAAAGCCTAGAGCAGCCAAACAAATCCAAAGCAGGATAATCAGAAACTAGAACTATAAATTCATACAGAAAAGATAAACAAAAAACTTTAATACAGCCAGAGGGAAAATGTAGATACGATGTA